AGGAGAGGCTGCTGAAGGCCCCGGGGCCAGAGGCTGATGTCTTGTAGGACTTCTGGGTCACCCTTATGGACATGGTGGGGGCTGGAGTGGAGGCAGGTGAACTGCAGCTGGAGACTGGACGGGGAGTCTGACAGCCACTTCTGGATGGCAATAGTCATTTTCTTCGTGAAAAATTTCCCAACCACTCTACATTTGAGGAAGCAATTCCTTCCTCAACGCTGAGGAAGTGTTGGGTTGGGCGTGCAAGTTTTCTTGGTGATATAAAGATTTCTTCGTTTGTGTCTCCATCAGAGTGTTAGCTCTAATTTGGGTTTGTGCATCTAAATTCTGTAGCATATCCCATCTGTAATCCCATTGGTTGACCATAGTTTTGTCCCACCTCCTGCCCACCTAAGCGAGTTCCCATTCTCTCTACCTTAGCCCCACATGGTTTTACACTATAAAAGTCCCTGGAAGAGACAGCTTCCCGGGGAACTACCTGCTTGGGCCCCCCTCCTGTCCCTCTCTCGGACTGGAGCTTTCTTTCGCTCAATAAATATATTCTGCTCATAAATAAATAAATAAATTCTGTAGCATATTGCATCCAAAAAAGCGGAGAAACATCTCTCTTCCTTCTTTGATTTGAGAGTCAGAACCATCCCACAGGTAACACGCTCTGTCCATGGTGCTGAAGGACATGTTGCGACCATGGACGGTTGACAGGCAAGACCCTTGGGTGATGGCAACTGGGGTGTACACGTGACCTTAAGGTACGTGGATGGAACAAAGAAGAGCCAAGGTGCAGTGGTGGATAAGGAAGTAGTGCCCACTGCGCTGTCCACAGCCCCACATAGAGGCTGTTGCGGAATAACTTTCTCTCTCCACCATCACTCGGTTGAGGCCACAGCGCTTCATGCCGTATTGAGACAGAGGAAATCAAACAGCAGCAGTGCAGACTCCCATGTCTCCTAGAGGGACTTAGCTAAGTGTGACAAGGTTCATGATTTTATTTCTGCAGGGTTCTAGGGCAGGGCTTGCACATAAAACATGTCGACTGTTCAGTAGCGGGCTTTCTGGTTGGCCCTGAAATCGTATTCCATTGAAGGAGGGATAAGAAGAAATAAAGAAATATGAAAACATGAGAAGTGATAGAGAGATGATGAGGAAGGAGAGGATCAGAGGGAGCGAAGAGCACATTCAGACAGGTTCTAGAGGACAAACAGAGGCAAATAGAGGAAGCTGAAGAGAGAAAGGAATGGAGAGGCCTACAGAAGTGCAGGTTGCCCAAGGGACCTAGCAAAGGAGAGACGCTGATGCGGGACAGCAACGTGGGGGCAGAGATGCAGACAAGTAAGCAGGGCAGATGCCCAAAGGAAGAGAGAGAAGCTGGCCAGGAACAGAGAAGAGAACTCCCAAAGAACAGGCTGGGGGACATTGAGCAAGAGCCAAGAAGCACAGGGGGAAGGAAGAAAAGGAGTTTTCACACCCAGAGAGCCCAAAGGGTTAGGCGGGGCCCAGGGGACACATGGCAGCCTTTGTACTGGAGTCAGCCTCTCCCCACCAAAGCCTCATTAGCCATGGCCAATTACAGATCCCCTGGGAGCCAGCATGGCTCCAAGCCCTGTCCTGGGGGTGATCAGAGCGAGAGCCCAGCGATGGCTCTCTTGGTCCCTTTGTGTTGGGCTCTCCAGGGGACCAGGTGAGAATTTAACCCATCCTAGCGTGAGGCCAGTTGGGACATGTTGATGTCCCCTTCACTCCTGAGCCCAGGCATCAGGAACCCCAGACGTGCTACCGACTTTGGCCTTGGGAAGTGTCTGCTCACCGTAATGGGGAGGAGAAGCTTGGATTTTGCTGCACTGTGACAGACAGGAGGTGAGGTATTTCTGTGGAGTGGAAGCCCGTGGGGGTCACAGACTGTCAGAGACCCACAGTGGGCAGCATGATGTTCTGAGCCTCAGGGGTCTCATCTGCAGTAACCCTCGCTGGGTGTGAGAAGGGAGCAATTTCGGGGGGTTGCATTCATTTCCTCGAAGATATTTTTGCCCCAGTAGGCATCCTGCTGGCACCTCCTGCTCAGCCTCCTCACACCCATGATGCCGGGTGCCTCATAACCATGGAGAACACTGGGTCCTCTCACAGCTCGGGCCTGACCATGGTCCCTCTTCTGAGCTCTGGGCTCCTGCACCGATGTGCCAGAGAGGTATTATTCTGTGGATGCCACAAGGTCCTGGCAAACAGCAACTCAAAGACACTGAGTTTCCTTCCAGAAACTGAGTGTGTTTGTGGACAAGCAGCCCTAACTTCAGGCTCACAAAACGCTACCATTTGTTCTCACAGCTGTGCAGACACTGTACGGCTAGGTCAGGACCTGCACTCGCACTGGGGGCCAGAAGCCGCAGCTTTCTCCAGATGGCTGGAAGCTTTGTGGATCAGAATGCATGAGTCCCAGCTGCCACTGTTGGCGACCTCCAGTGGCCCATGGCCTGGGCCTTGCTGGCTGTCCCCTTAGCTGCATCTTCCTGTCCCCAAGCCCCATGCTTCAGCCTCTGCCCCTTGCCCTTGAGGCCTTCAGCCAGTGTGCACTGCAGGATGGGCTGCTCAGCGCAGGGCTGCAGAAGCAGGAGTGTGCATGCGGGTGCTCCAAAAGCCAGCAAGGTCGTCCCTGCGAAGGAACATCTAGGCCTGTTGGGGAGTGTCCACTTGGTTCTGGGCCTGCAAGCCTTCAGCAATTTGGATTTCCAAGCAGAGGGGCAGCTGCTGCATGTGACAGCCACCAGGTTGTTCTGGGAGGTGGCCCACAGCAGTGCCCTGGAGAGGTGATGGTGGCCCTGGGAGGAGAGGCACAAGGGACAGGAGAGGGGACAGGACCCACAGACTCCCAGAAGAGCAATGCTGCTCCTCACTGAGCTCCACCCAGTCCCTGCACGCACATCCTGTGATCTCAGGAAGATTCACTGCTAGTCTTGGACAATAAATCCCATCAAGTGTTTGAACAAGCATTTTCCTTGGGCCTTGCTGTCCCTTGTGCAAATGCATTTGATTCTTTCAGCCCTCGACCTCTATCACGGCCTCAAAAACATACTGAGAACTCTGCTTTCCTCTGGGCACCCTAGAACTGGTTCAAGGATCGCCCCCCCCCCATAATCTGCATGCACAAGTGTGTAGGATATTTCCTGGGAGCAAGTTTGCCTTTGGATCACTCTAAAGAGGGGGCCCTCCATAAAAGTGACACAAAAGAAGGGGTCTGGGGTGGCTGCTGTTTGGTACACAGAACCCAGGAACAGCAGTAGTCTGGGTCTCCATGACCACAACATCAGGAATGGGGGCCACAAGTAGAGCTGATGTTCCCAAGACGGGCATTGTCCCAGGGGCCCTGAGTGTGAGCACCTCTGTTCCTTACATAAGCCCCTAAGTTAGGGATGGGGATTGTCCTGGTCTCACCAGGGCAGAAACCAAAGAGCAGAGGCTGAGCCATTTTTCTGCAACAGGGGCAGGACCCGTCCTGAGACCCTCTCAGCTGCTGGGTTCTGTTCTTGACCAATGTCTCTTGGGCACCTCCCAAGGCCAGTCTCTGGGTCACAGTGGTGAGGGGCACTTGCAGGCCAGGGAGGGGCCCTCTGTGGCCCTGGGGTGGGGGGCTCCTCTGCAGGACAGTGGCAGGATCACGCATGAGCAGACTGCAGGTGTCTGTCCTTCCAAACCCACTGCGGAGGGACGAGGATCTGACCCGGGGTCTGGAGCGCAGCTGTCACCCACAGTGGACTGAGCCCTGCTGCCAGTACTGAGGGGAGAGAAGGGAAGGAGGATCACAGAGGAGGACAGAGAGGAGGGAAGGATGGAGAAGAAGTAGAGGAGCAGAAGGAATGATGGTGGGGTGAGGAAGATGGTCATGTAGACGGGTAATGAGCAAGACAGAAGCAAGGCAGGAAGAGTGAGGAAAGGGGAGACAGATGGGGAGATGAGGGAGGGCTGGAAGTGGGCACAGGAGGGGTGGCAGGAGACCCAGGGAGAAGCAGGCTGGGCGGGCCGCACAACGACTGAGTAAGCAGCGAAGGACAGAGATGAGGAAAGGGAGTGTGGGCTGGTTAGGGGACAAAGCGGAATTCGGGTGCTAGGAGAAAAATGCGGCTCCAGAGGAGAGGGCACTGGAGCAGTCGGAAGGCAGGAGGGGACAGAGGGCGGAGTCCAGGCTCTGGCACCGGCCCCAGTCTGGTCCTGGTGGTGCAGCTCTGCAGATGGTGGTCCTCCCCTCAGGACAGGATCCTGGTGACACTGTGGAAGAAGCAGAGTAGGGAGAAGCGGGGATTGGCCCGCAGGTGCATCAGCTGTAGGCTAAGCTTGGGCACCAAGCCACTGACTGGGGGAGGGGGGGATGCCTGGGACTCCACACGCAGGCCACACCCGGCTCTGTGTGGCTACACCCAGACCAGGGGCTGCAGCACTACGGGCGGGAGGCTCCTGGGTCTTCCCAGGCTTAGTAAGGCTGAGTCCACGGGGGAGCAGGGAGGGAGGAAGGGACACAGGAGAGGGAGAGGGGGAGAGAAAGGGAGAGATTCAGTCAGCGGAATCGATGAAAACGGAGGGGAGGTGGGGAAGGGAGAAGAGAGGAAATAGGAGTGGGATGCGGGAATGGGGAGAGAGGTAAGATGAGGAGGACGAAAAGGAGAGGGAGGAGAAGAGGGAGAAGGAGGAGGGGAAAGAAGAGCAGGACGGGGAGGAGAAGGGGGAGGAGGGGGAGAAGAAGGGGGAGGAGGGGGAGGAGGATAGAAAGAACCTGGACCCCAAGGATGGACGAAGCCAGACAGAAAGGCGCTGCGACGTTGGGAGCTGAGCCGCTTACACAAAGCGATGCAGCGCAGGACTGAAATGAGAACCAGCTCCAAAGCTGCGCCTCAGAGCGCCCAGCGGCAGGCAGCAGGGACCAGGCAGGCGAGAGGCAGCGAGGCAGGAGCGCCGAGGGCGGGCGAGGAGGGGCGTGAGGGGCGGGGCGCGGCCCTGACCTGCGCTCTCTCTGCAGGATGAGTGCGTCGTCGCGCAACGAGTCTGCGAGCAGCCACGTGGAGCTGCTGGGGCTGTGGGCGCCACCCGCCCTGCGCCCGCTGCTCTGGGCGTCGCTGCTGCTGGCTTACGCGGCCACCGTGCTGGGCAACGGCGCGCTGGTGGCGCTCATCGCGCTGGACCGGCGGCTGCACCGGCCCATGTACCGCCTGCTGTCGAACCTGGCGCTGCTGGACGCGGCCTACGTGAGCACCGCGCTGCCGCAGGCGCTGGCCCACATGGCCTCGCGCCGGGCCCGCCTGTCGCGCGCGCGCTGCGGGGCGCAGCTGTACGTGGGCCTCTCGCTGGGCAGCTGCGAGGCGCTGCTCCTGGCCGCCTGGACGCTGGGCCTTGCGCTGTCGGTGCCGCACGCGGTGGCGGCGCTGCGGCTGCCCTTGTGCGGCGCGAGGCCGGCGGTTGACCACTTCTTCTGCGAGCTGCCGGCCGTGCTGAACGCCGCCTGCGCCGACACGGCCGCCAACCGCCGGCTGGTGTACGCGCTGGGCGTGCCCATCCTGCTGCTGCCGCTGGCCTTCATCGTCGCCTCCTACGCGCTGATCCTGGCGGCCGTGCGCAGGCTGCGGTCCGCACAGAGCCGCCGCAAGGCGCTGTCCACCTGCGGCGCGCACCTGGCCGTGGTGGGGCTCTTCTACGGCACGGTGAGCGCCGAGTACCTGCGCCCGCGTGCCTCGCGCGCCCTCCCCGCCCGGCACCACAAGCTGGTGGCCGTGTTATACCTCGTGGTCACGCCCGTCCTGAACCCGCTCATCTACAGCCTGCGGAACCGCGAGGTCCACGCCGCAGCCCGGTTCGCGCTGGCTCGAATGCAGGGGACGCGCCCGACGCTGGACGGATCCTAATCTGACCCCAGTGCAAACCTAACAGCAACCCTAGGCCCAACCCTCCTCCCTCCTCGCGTGATCCTGAGGCTGCTGGATCTTCTCCTTTCCCCAGGCCGGGCGCAGCCCGCACTTTCCAGGAAGGACCAGATCCCAGCGGTACACTGACCGGGTCTCCATTTCATCCACTGCTGGAGAAGGGCGGCAGCAGATAAGACAGCAGCCATGGCGGCGCCCCAGAGAAACCTTTACTGAAGCCTGAGTTTTGTATGACGGTCACGTGTCTCAAAAATCCACGCTGCTTTTAATCGCTTTCAACCACTTGAAGCTGTGAAGTCGTTTTTAGATAGCAGGCCCCTGGCTTGCCAGCCCCTCTTCTCAGGGATGGGCTGACTCCAGCAGACTGTTGCTAGGACAAAATAGATAGGGCTGTCTGCCAGGCCTGGGGCTGGTTCTTAGAGCCCTGGGCGTCACCGGCAACACGTGCGGGATCAGGGCAACTGCGAAAACCTTCGGAGGAGGATGCTGTTGCCGCAGGTGTCTTACCCACAAGAAAACTTAAGTCACAGATACGGTTCCTAAGCCATCAGTGATAAGCCCAGACAGGCAGCTGCCTTCCAGGCTTGTGTTGGTTCTTTTTGTGTATGTGTAATTAAAATTTTTTTTATTTATATATTTATTTGGTACAGGGTCTCCACACACAGCTCAGGACTCATAGCAATCCTCCCGTCTCAGCCTCCCCACCACTAGAGGCGTGCACCATTGTGCTGGTTCTTAAGCACCCTGCTACTTCCTCTCCTTTATCTTAGCCTTGTCCTTCCTTCCTCCCATACTCCCTTCCCCCACACACACACACCTCTTATATTCAACCTGGAGGTACAGATGGAGACTTACTAAGGATGTGGACATAATAAGGACATGGACATTAGTTTCAGTGTGGCCACAGGTACAGACCCACATGAAGGGGTCACACACATGGATGCACCTGGAGCTGCGCTTACCCTGGTAACTGAAGCAGCGGGCATTCCCTGTTCGGTTCCATTCTGGTGCTGTGACTCGCCAAACTGGCCCATAGTGGGCAACACTCTGAAAGGTTTTGATATAGAGCAAGCTCTCAGAAAATGGCAAAAGCCACTTCCTCACTCATCCTTACCATTCTGCAAGCGATGACTGATCGCCCAGGGGTATGTGGGACTGCAGGCCCAGCGCGCTGCTCTGTGAGGGGCAGGTGGGGAGAGGGAGCCGAGGACACAGCCGTGACAGGTGGAGGGGCGCAGGCCTTGGCTCAGCACTTGTTAGAAAGCCCTCTTGCAGTCGCCACACACAGGACCCTGATGCGGGGATACTCCTGTGCTCAGCTCACAGAGGACCAACGGTGGCAAGCAGTGGGAAGCTCAGCCGCAGGATGCTCTTGCCTTCCCACTTTGGTCATGGCCAGCATTTCTGTGTCTGTGACAAGGGACTTTAAGTGGTTTTTCTCACCAGTAGAAATGTGGTTCTGGGGCGGATTCAAGGTGGCTACATAACGGAAGACTCACACTGGAGCTTCTCAGAGGAAATCAGCTAAAAACACAGGTAACTGGAAGAAATGGGGGACATTCATCCTGACGGCAAAACTAATCTCAAGCAAGAGACTTGCGCAGGACTTCATAAAGTGCTCGGCCAGCCCACAGGACTGCTCATGGGTTTCTCACCAGAGGGATTGGAGCGGGAGACACCATTTCCAGGAATCCATGTCTCTCCAAACAGAGAGACTGTGAGCATGCGTCCAACTCCATCCACACAGAACAGACCCAGGACATGAGGCCGCTCACCTCTACTGGTTTCCTGTGAGCAGAGGACATTGCAGCCCAGCACCAAATTTTGATGGCACAAACAGGCAAGTGACTGCTCCCTCTCCCTCCGCTCTCCCTCCTCCTCTTCCTCCTCTTCCTCCTCCTCCTTTTCCTCCTCCATTTCCTTCTCCTTTTTTCTCAGTGGAGCACCATAATCACTAGCTGGACCCTCTACCTACAACAAGATTAAGGACCAGCCATAGGATTGCAGATGAAAAGCACAATCCTTCCTGCCCTACCACTTGTACAAGACCCAGAAACAGAATCCAACCCTAGACCTCCAGCCCACCCAGGACGAGTGCAGGGACAATGGAGTAGAAGAAAATGGAGGCTACCCATCTCAGATTTCTGAAATGATAGTAGCAGAAGCTCAAAATCAGGTGCATGAGATTAGAAATAATCTCTTGGGTGAAAAAGGGATGATGACCATAATGAAAGACTTACTCAGCAAGTCCAGAGTAGACATAGAAAAAATTGAGAAGCATAAGAAAATGGTGGAAGCCATGATACCTAAGATAGGAAAGAAATGGAATCCAGGAAACAGACTCACACAGGGATCCAGGAAATTAAAATTTCCACTCAAGGGCCAGCCATGCGGGCCCTGCCCCCGGGGTGTGCTGAGACGGGGATTGAGACAGGGCACGGTGGTGTGCATCTTTAATCCCAGCACTTGGGGGGGCTGAAAATAAGAGAAGCACTCCAAGTCTGAGTTGTGTAGTGAGACCATGTAGACCTTATAGATTCTGTACTGAACAAAAAGAAATTCCACTCGAAGTTTGAAAAATTGCATGAATGAAAGTGAAGACAGGGGGCCGGGGAGATGGCTCAGTAGAATAAGCACTTCCCTGGCAAGCGCAAGGGCCTGAGTTCAATCCCCAGTTCCACCAAAAAATAAATAAATAAATGAAAGTGAAGACAGAATTTCAGAAATAGAATACAGGATTGCAGCTAGTGATCACAAAAAGAAAGATCTTTTAAAAATAACAAGGGACTGTGAAAAATACAATCCAACAGCTGCAAGATGATTCAAAGAAAAATAATATAGGATTGATTGGAGTCAAAGAAAAAGCCAGAGCCAGCACAAGTGACATAAAAAAGCTGTTCACAGAAGTACTGGCAGAAAATGTCCCAAGTATGGAAAAAAAAAAAAAACCCTGACATACAGATAAGTGAGGAGTATAGAACTTCCCAATTAGCCATGAACAAAATAAATATGCACAAAGGCTTATAATAATCAAGATTCCAGAAATTCAGCAAAGAATAGAATATTAAAAGCTGTTAGAGAAAAGAAACAAATCATCTATAAAGAAAAGCCCATCAGAATTAAAGCAGATCTCTCAACACAAACTCTTAAGTCAGTAAGAGCTTAGAGTGAAGTGTTCCAAGTCCTGCAAGAAAATCGCTTCCGACCCACATTGATGTACCCTACAAAACTGTTTTTCAGAATGAATGGAGAAATGATACACTCTCATGACAAAGAACAACTGAGGAAATTCATGACCATGGGACCAAAGCTCTACGATATGTTCTGAAAGATGTTGCAGGGAGAGATAAGGGTGTGCACAAATCCAAGAGCGCCGACAGGAAAAGGCCTGGCAGGGCAAGCAGCTAAGCACAGGAGACAGCCAAGGAGCCAACAGCAGACGATCACGCAAGAAGGACAAGTCCATACATGTGTGTTATAATCAGCAGTGTAAACAATCATGCTTCACCAACCAAAGAAAATATACAGGCTGAAAGGGTCAAGAAACAAGATCCAACATGTGCTGCGTACAAAAAATGCACTTTACTCAGGAATAAATTCATAGACTGAAGGTCGGAGGATGGAAATCAATACTTGGTGTGATAGGAAGCCAGAAAGAAGCAGGGGTAGCAATTGCATTTGCAGACAATGTGAACTTCAAGCCAAGACAGATCAAAAGAGATAAAGAACGCTATTACATTCTTGTTAAGGGAAAACTCCAAGATAGCAAATATATATTCCCCAAATACAAGAGCACCCAACTATATGAGACAAATATTAATGGACATGCAAAATCTAATAAGTACCAGCACACTGTAATAGAGTCCTTAACAACTCATTGTCACAAACAGATCAACTAGACAAAAAATCAATTAAGAAACATCAGAACTGCCTAGGAGAAGACTGAAGGGCCAGCGTCTGCTGACCAGCCCGCCCCCCGGCCTCCCACCTGTTCTCATGCCTCTCGCGTGGTGATGGTTGCCGAATGAGCAGTGGCAACGGTGAGGCATCAGGGCTTTCTCCTGCAGCACCCACGTGTGCGGCCAGCTTGATGAGTGGGTGGCTGGTAGCCAAGGCCAGGGAAGTGCTGCTCTCGACACTCTGGCTGCTGGTCCCGCTGCTCTGGCAGGTGTCTGGGCCAGCTCCCCCACAGACCTCGCCCACCAGAGCAATGACACCCCAGGGCCTTCCCAGCAGCTGCAGGTGCAGCATGTGGCTGAGCAGGGCCCCAAGCCACCCAGGCAGAGACAGGCTTCACACCAGCTTCCCCAATTCATGCCAGTAAAGAAGATCCAGATACTCAACCTAATTTAGGATTTATTTGTGCATCTGTCACTGCCATCTCCATCATCACTGCATCTTAACTGGGGGACAAGACTTCGTCATAGTGGCCGTCATGGCCATCCACTATAACCACTGACTGTGCTAGCTGGCGCCGTGCTGGGCCTGGCCCTCATAACGTGCTTGTCTGTTTTGCTGGCTGTGCCACCACAGCCATCCCCAGAGTGCACACAGACTGGGTTTCAACTGCATTATTTGCCACTTTTAACAACAGATTGCTGTAGGAAGGCTTAAAGATGAGTCCAGATGAGTGTCAAGAGGGACTGGAAGAAGTTCAAGCAGAATTAAAGAAGAAAGAAAGGATTTCAACAAACGAAACTCCTAAATGGTCCAGGAGATGTCGAAGTGGGTTCAAGCACAATACCCACAGTGGAAAAAGTGGCTCGGTTTTATTTCACCAGTTTTTGGGGGAATAAAGCTCTTCCATGAGCATCCTTAGCAGAATGGAGCAATTGCTCTCCACTCACAATTGCTTTGGCAGCCAGAGACGACGCATATGGTGCAGCTGTGGGTGGAAGAAGGATAGCACAAAAAACATGTCAGAACTGTGACAGTCATAGGAGGCATCTTCTTTTTGGTATTTGCATTTTCTGCACTACTTA